AACTTATGAGAAATATGCAAGAACAATAGTACAAAGATGCCCATATATGTGGAAAAAGAGAGAACAGGAATAAATAGGTGAATCCCAATAAAAGTAATTACTTAAGATTGAGTTATATGTATCATGGTCATTTGGTCTTAACTATTTTCTAAAAATAAAGGTATTGTTTTATAACAATAGTATGATTACCAATCTCACATATATAATTTGATATACTATTAAATAAATCCCTCACCTATATTCCCATTTTTTTTTAAGAGTAGGAAATTTTGTTGGAAAAAGGAATGGGGAATATGGATGGGGAATAAATAGATCCTGAGAGACAGGAGGGTTCCCAAAAGGGTTGCCCCCAATTTTCTTACCTGACCCGGTAATATCCTTTACCAAAAAAATACTCCCCTTCAACACAGGACTCGACGTTCTCCATAAGCCTTGATATCAGCTCCCAGCGCACACCCAGCTGTGTCCTTCTGCTATTATGCTGTAGTGGTTTTTGGATGTGTTGAATTTCAAGCATAAGGAGTTGTTCCAGGCTCACTTGCACCTGCCCTGTACAAGCCCTGGAGTCAGTTATTTCTCAAAGGTGACCTCTGAGTGACCAGTGACATTAGAGACCATACCCAGGTCCAGGTACACTTACTGCCCCTCAGTTACCTTTGCTTTGAAGATATTTTAGCAAGAATAGGAAATCTTTTAGCAAGAATAGGAAATACATGTCTGGAATACACATACACAACAAATATGCACATAGCTCCACATGCACACACATGTGCACACATATGCACATTTTAATATTCATGAGTTCTGATCTGTCCCTACTTGCCTTCTCCTTGTCTCTTAGGGGTATATTCCTGCCCGTCCAGTGAGAGCCCTGGCTAAAATGGTGTCAGTGTATTTGCTCATGTGCTCAGTTATATGATACACTAAAATCATTTCAAAAATTTTTTTTCCATATGACCAAAAAAAAAAATCAGTTAAAGTCCAGGCTTTGTTTGTAATTCTCACCCTGCTCTCGATTCTGTGTTTAAAATAACCTGATTTAGTTCTTTCTTTTTGTCCCTTCAATATAACATAATATATTAAAGGTCATTTCTCTCACTTTACTTTCAGTTTTGTTTTTCCCCTGCTGTAACAACACCAACAGCGTTGCTTCACTCCTGTATCTGTCTCACTCTGTTCTCCCCGCCCCCAGAAGTGCCCTTTTAGTAACTGACTTTTTAGGTTTCCGATTAATCTTTTTATACGTATGTCTTATTATTTCCCCATCTTTCTTGCATCACACAAATAATATGGTCGTTTGCACTTTGCTTTTCTTTTTTTTCTTTTAAAGAGTAAAAGAAGGATAACAGTAATAGGGAGGTTACCGAATTACAGACAAAGTGGTAGGAAATTATCAATCGTTGTTGTTTTACATATTGTTATCTACAAGATAGTTTCTCAGGAAAACAAACCGACAAATAATAGGGAGTTATAGACAGAAGTGGTAGGTTATCATCAATGGTTGTTGCACTATACTTTGGTATCTTCAAAGTGGCTTCTAAAGAAAATAAATAGAGCTATACATGAGTGACCAATTGAATATTCATTGACTATTCTCAATGGTTGCTGTAGGAAACGTATAGTAATAAACATACATCCATTTATGAAATAGCATAGGAACAATACAAACATTACAGAGTTATGGATAGATCAGTAGGAAAATATCAATGGCTCCTCTAATACATGGTGATATCTTCAAAGTGGTTTCTGAGGAAGACAGAGATACGCAAGAAAGATCTACCAAGTAGTTATAGCCTAAGGGTTGTAAGCAGGAGACTCCTACCAAGCACACATGCAATACAGCCCTTGGACAGAAGTAAAAATGCTTTTCCTTCTAATGCAAAGAAAACATAAAACCATAACACACCAGAGATTTGCATGTATTCCATTCACTAGAAACTATAATGCTGGTCCATTGGAAATTAGTGGTAAATTTGCCACCTCTTCCCAAGTAAGGAAGAGTAAGATTTGTCTTTCTTTTGACATGATCAGGGCAGGTATGGCAAGAAAGGATGGGGCAAAATATACACTTAATACACTTACAGAGAATCAGAGTTTTAGAGAAGCACTGAGCTTTGGTCAGTGGTTTTCTTAGTGATGCTTCAGTCTTGCATCCCAGAAAAAGGCTTCCTTCCTCTCTCTTACAATCTAAACATGAAGATGCCATTTTTGTCTTTCTTGATTAGGGTTAGACACACAAGAAGTTAAGTTTGTGATGTTTAAGTGCTGTAAGCAACTCACAGCAGAGGACACACTGCCATCAGCCCCCTCAGAATCTTCCCCCTCACTTCAGTCACGAGTAACCCTCCCTCTGGCCACTCTCTGAAGCACTTCTGGAAGTCCTCTTTCATGGTCCCTTTAGTTGTACCATCCTGGTTGCCTCAACATCCTGAATTAATTGAGTTTACCTTTCATTTTGATTTTGGGGAAGAGCCAGAAGTTACACGGCGCCAGATCTGGTGACTAAGGTGGATGAGGACACAGCATCATGTTTTTATGACTTCATCTTTCCATTGGATGATGCTCAGCATCAGCATTCACTGTGCTCTTCATTAAACCTCTAAAGACACTCATGGAAGAGGACTTCCAGAACTGCCTCAGAAAGTGCCAAGAACTATAGAATAAGTGTGTTCAAAGTGAGAAAAAAAGTATCTTTTACTGTAAGAAATTTTTACAATTTAAACACTCACTGTATATTTTGATCATGCCTTGTATGGAATAGCCAAGTAAAGACTCTCACCACGTGGCAGGATATAAAATACACAGAAACCCAAGCACTATGACTTCTGGGCTCAAGATACTAGAATGGCCAGCACAGGTGAATTTCTGGGCAGTGACAAAGCTGCCCAGGTAGAGAATACCAGCAAGGGACAAAGAGGACTAATGACCAGGACTTGAAAAACAGCCTTCTTTTAAGTGTGGACTTGAAAACACAGAAGGGTCCCCGAGGAAAGGCAAGAAAGGATGGAGAGAAACCAGTCTCCACGGCTGAGGAGGAATTTCAAAGGCCCCTGGGAGGGAAGCAGAAAGATGAAGACAAATCTGCCCACTGGACAGAGGAGGAGCTCGGTGCTGACCGTCATGAACCACGGTTTAGGTAACCATAGAGACCAAAGGCAGAGTGCACTGGATAGCAGGTGCTCAGGGCCATGAAGTGGAGACAGGAAATGCGGCAATTGCTCTGTAAACGGGAATGGGAGATGGCCAAGTGGAGTCAGGCATCGGACTTTTACAGTTTGCTAGAATTTAAGGTACAACTTGAGCATGCTTAAATTCTGGTAAGACATGAGGTGAGACAGGCTGAAGAAAGCAAGCAGAGAGAAGATGGGGCGACTGAGCCCACGTGGAAAGCCACACCAAGGGAGAAGGAGGGACACTTCCCCGAACAAGGACAGGAGGTGAGCAGAACACATATGACAGTGCAGAGTGTGAACACATATGGGAGTCTAGGTCCATGGAAAATAAAATTGCCATTTTCAGAGAACCCGAACTTTTCCTGAGAAACCCATGGTCATGAAAGCACCTTGGTCCTGCTACATCGTTACGCAACTGACACCGCCGCAGAGTGGACCTGGGTCGGTGAGCACAGAGATGCCTGCTCCAAGGCTGGGTGGAGCAATCGATTCTCCACGTGGGGGCTCAGCTGTCAGAATAAGAGGGGCTCCAAAGTTGTTTGACAATAAAATGCAGCAAGACAGATGCCAAACTCGAGGGAGGAAATTCAAGGGAATAGAGCAGATTTTCTTCAAGCAGACACGTGAAAGCCCACATGGAGGAGCCTGGGATGGAACCCCAGAGGCCCAAGGCAGCCTCCACACGGGGCCAACAAGCTGGATGTGTGTCAGGAAGGACATGATTTCACCCATCCCGTTCTCCCTCCCTCCCGGAAACACCAAGGTGTCCTTGAGCACTACAGGCTTTTACTTAAATGGAATTAAGCTACGTGCAGTCCTTTAAGATGCCTGCTCGTGTGTGTCTGCATGTCTGTGTTCGTTCGTGACTGCCATGCTCTGTCCTGTAAGTACTGCTTCCCCACCACGGTTTTACCTGGCTTCCTCATGCACCCCTGCCTGATGGGTGGCTCCAGGTTCAGAGGGATGGCCAGCCCAGAGAGGCAGGGTGACCTTGCAGACCGAGGCCACACTGCTCCTTCCATCTGCTGGACGTCCAGCTTGCAGCTCCAGGGGGCTGCGTCCTAATCCTGTGCCCAAGCAGGAGCCCGAGCCAGAGGGGAGATGGCAGGTGGTCCCGAGTCTCTACTCTCCCAGCCTTCGTCCCTCCCATGGGAGTCTTTCCTCACCTGGCACCAGGGCAATCGAAAACCCAAGGCTGGACTTGTCGTCATCCCGCTCCGTCCTCCCGTGTGTTGGTTACGTGTAGGGCACCAGCCACGCTGTACTGCACGGTTTCGAAGCAGGTTGAGAGCTAGGCCTGCTCACCCCCAGTTCAGCCCACCCGTCCCGCTCCTTCCGCCCATGTGCCTCACCTGCCTGTGCACAGGGCTTGCGCCTGGAAGTCAGTGCCCACCCTGATGCCCAGAGCCCACAGTTCTTGGGTGGGGCAACCTCTTCCCGGCTCCCGTGTCCCAAGCCTTGCTCCTGTGTTGGGGTCACCACCATATTTCACAGGTCCACACTCAGCGGTGGCCCCCAAACAGCTGCCTACCCCCCGAGTGTCCAAGGAAAAGCACACCCCAAGACGCAGAGCCTCAGGAGAGGCTCCAGGGGCAGCGGGGCCCAGACACACACTTCCTGTCGGCAGTCCTGTGTGTGGAAGGCCTCATAACAGTGCAGGTCTTTAGAACAGACACGCCTGGTGCTGAGCTCCAGGGAGGGAGAAATGGAGTCACTAGGGTTTAAATCCCAACCTAGCTTTTGCGAACTGGACAGGCTTAGGCAAGTTTCTTAACATCTTTCTGCTCCCACGTCCCTCTGAGCTTACCAATAACCCTATAGCACAGGTTTATTTCAATAATTTATTTTTATTTTATCCTTCAGCTTAGTATTGCGTTTATTTCCAGTTAGACCTCTTCCAAGACATTCGTGAAGTAGGAGACAGGTGATGAACTTACTTGGGAAGTCATTCTTGCCTTGGAGTGGGTCGGGATGGCAGAAGGGCACCAGAACGTGTCGCCGCTCCCTCGGGGCCTCCCCTGCCCCACCCAGGTGCCCGCTGTTTTCCCTTTCCCGGCTCGGCCAGGCCCGAGGGCTGCTCCCCTGCCACCCTCTCTGGCTGAGGTGTGTGGAGAGAGGGCCCCGACAGGTCACTGAAATGCACATCTGGGGTCCGACCACAGTGCAGAAGCAGCAGCATGGTACCTCCTCCCTGTCTCTTGCCAGGCGCTGCTGCACCCCAAGAAGCCACCCTTCCAAGTGGAGCTGACAGGAAGCTCTGCAGGAGCACCCAGCAGGGTGCAGAGAACAAGTCTCTGTGGACTGTGGAGTGTGGCCAAGCGGGTGGTGGTGACCCGCGGGGCGCCCTGCCCGCTCCAAGCTCACAGGGAAGCTGGTCCGACGGCCCTGTGTTGGGATGAGGAATGGTGCTGGGGTCGGACAGGCCAAGTTCTCACCCACTCATCTTTCACGGGTTAAATTGGCACAGAGCTCATGGGTTTGGCCTGTCATCTCTTTGGGGTAAAGGTGAACTCAAACAGTGTGGTGGGGGAAGCAGCTCAACAAGAGCAGTGCCCTGGGGCTGCCCACTGATCTTCTGAGAAAGGTGCCTCTGGGTCAAACTACCCCCAAAACTCAAGAATGCACTGAGGACCAAGAGGCCAGAAATGAGAAATCCACACCCACGGGACCAAAGATGGGGAACCATTTTCTAGGGCCAAATAAAAGCCGAGGTTAGGGTCCTCATCCCAAAGATGCTAGAGCACCGGGCTGCCACGGAAAAGCAGGAGGCAGTGCCGGCCTTGGCACACAGGAGGGGCAGGGGTCACTCGGCATCACCGCTCAGTGGTTTGATGGTCCTGCCCCACCCTAAAGGGTGTGAATTAGGAGCCCAGGAGACACCCGGCGCTTTCTCTTCAGGTCTAAGGACATTCCATTTAGAAGACGGGAGAGGCTGAGGCTCTCCACAGCAGTGCTGAGGTCCTACTGGGCTCCGGGTGAGAGAGAAAGCCGCTATTTCCTGTGGGCGTGATGCCTCTGGGAACGTCTTTGCTCCCGACTCCTTGGACTTTTTGGATTTGTACCAATGGAAAACAAACAGGCTGGAGACCTGAAAGGATCCCTGTTCCTGCTGACAGAGCCCTGAGAAGGCGGTGAGCCCACCCCAGAGCCCACGCTGCTGCCCGGCTTTGCTGGACCCGGGAGCCGGCTGGTCTGTGCAAAGGGGGCGACGGAAGGGACCCCAGGAGCAGGCTTCCTTGCAGAAGAGCCGGCCCTCCCCAAGGAGGAAAGCAAGGCCTGGCTGGGAAGGCGCTGAGGGTTCTGGCCCGGCCCTTTTTCAAAGGCGGTCCCAGTCCTGGGGACCCCACTCCGCACTGTTCCTCCCACGCTGAGAACCCCAGAGGTGGAGCTGTCTCTGTGGGTGCTCGCAGTGACCCCTGGCTCCCCACACTCCATAGGGGTCACTGACCCTCCAAAGGCAAAAGGTCGAGGGGCCATGCTGCCAAACACTGGGCTCCCAGCCCCACTCTGGCTCCGGGTGGCAGCCCCAAAGCCAGGGGCGGGACTTGCCTGGCCAAAGGCAAACCCTAGTGGGCAGGGTGCAGGGACCTGTGCAGTGGGGGCCTGCGAAGTGGGGGCTGAGAGCACCCCGCCCCCAAGAGCCGCCTGTGTGGAAATGCTCTGCCTGGGCCTGGCCAGCGTTGACCCGGGGGCTGGAGGCACCACTGCCCAGTTCCCAGAAAGGAGAGGGGTACTGAAGCTTGGGGTGAGAACCGGCTGGGGGGCGCCTTCTTTCTGCCCATCTTTGGCCCCAGATGCAGGCTGGGGCATGACTCCAGGGGGTGCAGGGGTCGGGCTGGAGAGGCTGAGCGACAGTGCGGGTGGGGGGGCGCATACAAGGGTGGAGGCGGACACAGGGCTCTGCGCACGCCTACAATCAGCAGCGCTTCCGCCAGCGGTGACCTGGGCAGCACCAGGAACTTGGCCACTAACAGCAACTTGGTGGACAGCCGGGAGGGAAGGAGGCTGCCAGGACGGGAAAATCTGGCTGGTTTCTGGGGAGAAGCCAGTTGCCCCAGCGTGCGGCAGGGGTATAAAGCCTGGGACCACTCGGCTAGAATCGTGAGGCAGCTGGACAGCAGGGTCTTGGCATGTGCCAGCCGGGGAGGTGGACGGGACCAGGCCACGGGAGAGCTGAGCTGCGACAGGGGCCGGCGGGGGAGGGAGCTGCCCGGGGGAGAAAGCAGCTTCCGCAGGCGCAGGGCTCAGGGCGCCCCTGAAGACAGGCTGGAAGGCCGGCGGCGTCAGGACGCACGGAGCTGTGCAGCCGGAGGCCCCCAAAGACGGTGCTGCTGCGACCTCGATTCTGGGATCTGAGGGGACTGCCGTCTCACTACCGGGAAGGGACCCCAAAACTGGCTTTAACAGGGAGTCAGCAGAAGTTGCAGCGGGAGGTGCGGGAGCAGGAAGGTGGGGTGCTGGGCTCCCCCTCACCCCAAACACAGTGCTTTGTAAGGAGGGTGCAGCGGGGGGAGTGACAGGTGGGTCTGGAGGCAGGGCTGACTCGGCAGCGGGAAAGCTGGGAGCTGGCCGGGCAGTGACAGCGCCGGGTGACCTGGGCGCAGCCGCTGGCACGGAGCCTGGAGAGCGGGCGGGCGGGGCTTCTGACCGTGCGTACCCCAGCGGCGCGGGCGGGCCTGGAGACGTCTTCTCTCGGCTGTCCAGCGGTGGGTCTGCGCCGGGGGCTGCTGTCCCTGGGACGGGCAGAGCGACGCACGCGTGGGGTCGGACACCAGGACGGGCCTCGGGGGTGGAGTCCGCGGCGGCCTCGGTGGCATCCTGCCCGGCTTTTTTCCCCAAGGTGCAGTCCTCGTCAGAGCCACGCTCGGCAGGTGCGGTCTCGGGCAGCAGGTCCCCAGGGCGCGGTGGCAGCGGCGGGGTCTTCTCCCTTGGCGGCCCGGGCCGCCCGGCTGTTCTCGAGGACGCGCGGCGCGCGGCGGGCGGGCGCACGGACGGAGGACGGCCTTTTCCTCTCTTTCGCAGCGGCCACTCGGGGATCTCGGGTGAAAGCCTGGGGAGGCCTCTCTTGGAAGTCGCGGGGCCGGGCCGGGTGGAGCTGTAGGAGCTGCAGATCGCGTTCCTCTTGGCGCCGAGCGAGGCCGCGGAGCGCGCGGGGGCGCGGGGGACC